GTCAACTTTAGGTCCGAACTTGGCTTAGTGGACTAACCATCATGATTAGTCTTGTTTAGGCCATAAACTATAGCAGTTGTGTCTGTAAAAGTTATTTTACGCGTTTATTTTATTTGCATTTTATTTTAAGAGATTACCTTAATAGTTTGAAGGACTTGATTAAAATTTAAAGTATATATAACCAGTTTAAGTTTTGTGAAAGATGCAATAAACAGTAAATATGACCTTTTTACAAGTTAATTTTATTTGAGTTGTAGTTAGAGATATACCCTTGGTGGTTTGAAGGATTTGACGTTCACACTCGATTTAAAATCAAGATTGTGTTAAAAAAGATTTAAATATCTAACGGAAATTTATGGGTAGAAAACCAAAATTGTTGTCCTAGTTCTTATATTAACATTCGATTAAACATTTTGAATTAAAAATACCAAATAGTTTTTTTTTTACTAAAGATATAATAAATACATAGAATACCTTTTCTTTTGTTTAGTTTTGTATGGGACTAGCACTATCTTAGATAATCTTGGATGTTTCACATTGATTAAAGATATTACAGCATGGTGTCGTTATCTCGTACAAGACAAGCTATACTCCCTCGAAAGAACCTTTGACCTTATACTATGTGACGTCATGGCCCTCTTCACTACAACTTAATGCTATCACAGTTCCCTTTCATTAATGTTCCTGGATCGTAAATTTTTAACATCTTTGCAATCATATCATCATTAATTAATTTGTTTTTATGTAAAATGTTATAAAGAGACTGACATGAGAATAATTTGCCATTATAGACAGAATATATATTATTTTCCTTTCTGTTCTCTAAAAATTTATGACATCATAAACAGAAAAAAACTACTAATATAAACAGTACGAAAGAAGACACAAAATTCAAACAAAACAGTTTTATACAATTGTGAGAGTTTGTAAATGGTATCACCTATTAATTGTCTTTGACTTTTTCGTATGCTCTAATACCTCTTTAATACTTTAAGACAAGCTGTGAAATAAACTGGGATGAATTATTGGTAATTTACATAAAACCCCTATTGCCTCTTTCATTCCGATAAGAGCAGGGTGTTTTACTTTATGAGATATGTCTTTGAAAGTAAAAAAACCGTACACGTATTCCCTTAGAGTGTCTGATAAAAATTTAATTTGTTCGGTTCCCTGGAGAAAATGTCAATTTTGTTGAAACGTATCCAACAGTATATATATAATTTATTTTCTATAGTTATTGAAACAGTTCAAGATTACGTAAAACCTCTGTATTCAGCCTTGAAGAAAGGTCAATTATAATTTAATATTCATGGTTAAATTAAAAATATAAAGTAAACATAAACTACTTTAACTATCTTTGGCAGTAAATACAAAAATCCAAGAGACAATGCGATTACAACAGTCATCATTTTATTTAAATCATCTTGTTGTAGATATCACACATTATTATTAAAATTACTATTGTGCATAAATGTCAAAAGAGGGACGTACAAAAAAATGCTTATTGAAAACTACTTTTATAAACAACTGAAAACATATAATAGTAATATTTTTGTACCAAAACTATAATTCATTTTAAAAATCCAGCATCGAACATAGTAATTGTAATAAAATGCTCCTTTAGTCTTTAACTATAAGTAGAAAATAAACGGTATCAGCATTCTGACACATACTTTCTCCCATAAGTTTGTCAACAACCTTTATCATGTGTAAGTGGTGAGAGTAAATATACGCAAATGGGATTTGTACAATTTTGTTCAGAATTTAAAGGACTATAACATGCTAAATTTTATCAAAATCGCTCGGGCCATTTTTGCGAAAATCCAATTTTTCTGTTATTTTATGGGGGTTTTATGGGAAAATGACATAATTTACAATAACTTTTGAACCGTAATTTTTACAGAAATGGGATTTGTACCATTTTGTTCAGAATATAAATGACTATAACATACTAAATGTTTATCAAAATCATTCGGGCCATTTTTGGGAAAATCATATTTTTCCGTAATTTTATGGGGTTTTATGGAAAAATCCCCATTAAAAAAGAATTTCCAAAAAAAAATTAAAAAAAAAACTTTCAAAACTGTAAGGACTATAACATACTATGTTAAATCAAAACCGGATCTTTTTCTAAAATTCAATTTTTCGTTATTTTTAGGGGGTTTTATGGGAAAATAACATATTTGACTTTTGAACCGTAATTTTTACAGATATGGGATTCGTACCATTTTATTCAGAATTTAAAGGGCTACAACATACTAAATTTTATCAAAATCGTTCGGGCCATTTTTGATAAAATCCGATTTTTCCGGTTTTTTATGGGTTTTTATGGGAAAATCCCCATTAAAAATAAAAATTTCAAAAAAATGAAAAAAAACGCCTGGAGATACCATGGATTAGAACCTACATACCAAATTTTATCGAAATCGGACCACAGGTGTGGTCTGTAGCTCTGTACACATCCAGACACACAGACACACACACACACACACACACACACACAGACATCACTTCGAAAACCACTTTTTTGGGTCCAGGGGGACCCAAAACGAATATATCCACTCAAAACTCAAACTCGAAAATTTTGACGAAAACATTACTTTCTCCATATACTATGGTATAGGGGGAGAAAGTAATAAAATGAACTAATTATGTATGTTTTAAACCAACTGGAAAAATAATACTGTTTATAGTGAGTAAACTTGTTGATTAGTCTACATAGAAGGTGGTCTAAAAAAATGTCACCATACTGGTCAACGACATGGTGGAAGGAAAAAACATAGGTGTGCCATTCATTGCCGTCATTTGCTGACGTCACCCAGCTCGCAAACAAAAAAAGCACCTGATTGTATTGTCATATACGGATACATTTGTTTTGATTGGATTGTGATTGTTTTTATATATTTTTCTAAAAAATGGTGGTGTTTTCAATCTGGGTGACGTTACAATATGACGGGAAAAGCATACCTATAGGGGGAGAAAGTAAAAGTTCCAAAACGTCAAGGCAACCACTAACTAATTTTAGTTTAATCATCTTGTTGTTGATGTCACACATAAAGTAAAAGATATTAAATATATATCCGTAATCATAAAGCTACCTTTACCAGAGGTGCCCCTTTGTGAAAAGAAGACAACACAGTGTGAGAGAACTGAAACATAACAGTGATCTATTTTTAACTCTCTGTGAACATTTCTCTTTTCTGTTTTGACGTTTTAATGAATACATTACTCGTATCGATCTTATAAAAGACGAAGTTGATTGTTGACAAATTAGCTCAACTTTTATACTCTTTCTAGTAAGAGCATCAATGGCTACATATTTTCGGTTAAGAAGAAATTAAGTGATGATCGCATTTATTAAATCAACGTGTCAACCTAGTCAAGGTAAACAAAATTTGCTCGAATATTCCCCTTGGAAATACCACCTAAAAAACACAATAAAAAAGGACTTGTCATTATAAAGAATTCGACGAAGTGTTTATATTCGTCCCAGGAGTCGAACTTCTTTGACTAAATCCGCTTCAAAAGGCAAGACAATTTAATTAAATTGTTTTATATGACTTTTTTCAAGTATAATTCTATTTACACTTGTCTTGAATTGTAATAAATGATTTTATACTTAAACTATTGATAGCTTTATGAAATTTCATAATAAAAAATAAAAAAACTAAAATGCTAATAAATGTTCTGTAAGATAGAGCATGGAAATGATTTATAATGAGTTTTGACTGCATCTCCTTCTCTATATCGAAATAAAATTGAAATCATTCAAGGAGCTTTAAGTTTAATAACGTTGTAAGTATACAGTTTTATTGTACGGCTAAATATTTGTTCTATTCTTTGTCAAATAAAATACATAATTCTCTTACATCAGGTAAAATGTACTATAGTTTTTGTTTTAATAATTAAACTCAACAAAAAGTCAATGAAAGATTACGGGTAAATTTAAAATCTAACAAATTGTTTATAGAAAAATATATCTCTAAAGTAATTCATTGTCATTTTACCTTCACCAACAATCAAGTGCAAACATTACCTTTTGAAATATCAAACACCTGTTATTTAAACAACAGATAATTGATTTCAAAAATTTAATGAACTACCGTCCAAGATGCAGGTAGTTTTCGAGTATTGACTGTCAATAATCAACAAATTGAAATGTATTATATTTTAGTAAAGTGCGATGAAACAAAAGCAAACTATTTTCAGTGTAAGATTAGACGATTGTTCTGGCTCAACAGTATTTGTGACCTTTAGCATAACATAATGGAGAATACAAAACTTGTTCTCAAAGTTACTAGCTCAGTACAAGACAGTTCTAGATATCTTTCGCAATCTCGTTTTCTTGAATGCATAAGTCTCACATAAAATTTTTATCATTAAGTAGTTATTTTTAAATAAAATAATATGATTCAAAACGGTAATTTTATAGATTTATATTTTAAACATACAGGTTCTAAATAGAAATGTGATGCATCTGTAAATAGAAAGATTTTGATTTTTTTTATTGAAAGTGAATAGTTTTGTCGATGAATATACTGTAAATTTATAACTCAGGCAATAATGTTTATGATAGTTTATTAACGTTTAAATACTAAGAACACTAGATCTAAATAATAATTTACGTTATGGTACCTAAAGAAATGTGTCAAATTATTGGATCAGAAGCGTGCAAAAGTAATGCTAAGCTAAAGATTTTGAATAATTTGAATTTCTAAAGATGCTTTATTGGAACACAATCTTCATTAAATATTGTAAAAATTCCCAAATCCAAGACTATAACCTACACTTCTGAAGAAATAATGTTACCAATATTACTTTAAAATATGTGAACTACTATTCTACTGTTCCTATTTATTGAGATTTTATGTTTTTATTTTGTTTACTGTACACATGCCAACGAACACTTTTATATGTTATGTGAATTTTTATTAAAATCAAAGTAAGTTTTAGTATCAATATGTAGCTCGCAGATAATATGTAAGTAAACTAAAACTCACCATTTCAGAATATTTATTCAAACTTGTTCCTTGATAGTTTCAGAGGCATAGTCATCTGTAAAACATAAAAAGATTTATGATGGATTTAAATAAAAAAAATCCAAAGACATCCAAACTAGGTGCAATAGCAAAAATAATTATTCATAGTTTTATACATTTACTATTGATCAAGGATATAATAACACGATTTTATATAATGAAAAACGTTGAGTAATATTATGCTCGTTATATTTAGTATGTTCAGGAGATAAATTGTACCGATTTGTTTACTATCTCCAGTAATTAATAGTGCAGCAAGGCATCCTCCAACAATTTCCCTCCAACGGATTGCTCATACAAACTAACCTTCGAAATTTTATTAAAACAACTCCAATAATTTAGTCACACCACGCTTCTGCGTAACGACTGGCATTTTAAACAGAACGGACACCTATTATACATTCCTGAGTAAATCTTAAAAACCTGATTATCATTGATGATCAATAAGTATCAATTTACTAACACCCTTCATTGTTTTATAAACTTAAACACAAAATTTTATGCACAATTTATAGTGAGATTTGTAGAAGATATTAATACTATTATTTAAATTTATTTTATAGTAAACCCTAGTAAACCCCCTCCCTTGCAGGAGTGTAGTATAAGAGCTTCGCTCGTTTCGCGTCGCTCTCCTTAACAACTGTTATAAAATATCATTTGGAACTTTTTAAAACTGTTTCTGCCACAAAACACCAGAAACTCTGTTTCGTTGCTACATCCGTCAGTTGTTTGGTTAACACAATAATCTCATACATGTCTTACACACATATGTTAATTAGAGAGAACAATCGGTTTATGATAATGTAGTTAGGTGAAGAAGGCACTGATAAGAAGTGTACGCCATTGTTGTTAAGTACTTTTAGTAATCTTTATGACTCCGTATGATAAAATGATCACAGTGTGCATATTGTACACTTAATATAGTACTCGGTGCTAATCGGGTGTAGTATTGCTAATGTTTATGAAGTATTTTTTTTTACGTTATACTGGAATTTGCGTTATGAGTGCCTTTAGACAAATTCGATTCAGTTTTTTTCTTAAACGATGCAATGTTGATGATTATTAATAAATACAGGATAGTCTAGCCATATTTAAATTATGAATTGCATTTGTAATTGTTGAGATAAATATTCTAAATCAAATAGATGGTCTAATGAGGTTCGGCCCAGTGGGACGTCAATTTTATTAAATTTTAACAAACAAAATGCTCCTTAAGTATTATTTAAAAGTATGACTGCGCCATAATCACACAACAAAATTATTCTATGGGTTTTATCTAAAGAATGATATATTCTACAATTATGTTTTGTATTACTCCTAAACACATTTAAATTTAAATAATATAAGCTAGCTAGTGGATAATATTAATGAAGACAAGAAAGCCTCATAGAATAACGTGAGGATTCGCCCTGGCTTATAGGATTACCTGAGCTCCTGGCAGCTTCCTAAATTAGTTACAGCTTCTGTTATAATAACAGAGACGCTTATGACATTCTTATCACATTGACTTGATTAAAAGAATATATTGGATTTAAGATGGATACGACACTTACGAACATGGATTTATCGTTTTTGTAATTCCATGCATAAATAAGCAATTTATTCTTTGGCATTTAGTATGAACTAAACATTTAAAATATGATCCCAGACATTTTTCTACTAAAATAATACAATATTGCATAAGGGATATAAAACAAAGAACTACTGGTACAAACTTCAACATTTTAAGTTGTAGAATCACTTCATTGTAATTGAAAAGCAGCTTTGTTAACGACAAGCATTATATGAGGACTTAAATGAAAGTAAATAACTGACACATAGATTTTTTTTAACTATTACATGTACCTAAAATGATAACGGTAAAATGATGTGTATTTTACTTTAAACATAACATTTTTAACTAACGCATCATCTTCTTCGTCAATTCCGATTATATCAAAACAACCCTAACAATTTACACATGATCAGCTTTTGCCAATGGACATTAATTTTTACGGAATAATTTTTAACATAGAAAAATTAAATTACATCTTACATTATCAAGACTAACTTTTTGAACCACCAAAATATAATTGGAACCCATTTATATTTCCATTACCTTAAAAATTACATTGTATTAGGAAAGGGCATTCAAGTTAGATATCTTTTTATGAGCTCTTGCAACGTGATTAAAATAAATAAAATATAGAACCTAAATATGGATTTGTCCTCTACATTTATTTTTTTCTAATGTTTTTAATAGATCTTGGACCATTTATTCATATTATTCATACCGATTGTAATTATACCACGGACCCGATGGACGTAAGGTTACCTCACGAAGCGTGTGATTCTGCCTGAACACATTATTGGTTACTTGTTAGATACGGTTGATTTATTGTAATACAATGTTTAAAGAAGTGTATAATATGGCTAATTGGCTAATTGTGCACTCGATAATTATACCAAATTTAATTTCAGGTCAGCGAATTTAAAATTTTCAATATATTGTTTGGATAATAAAACCGAGCTTATTATTATTTGTCAATAACAATTAAATCATAAATACCCCGCCACAGCAAACCTGCATACAAAGCGAATTTCCATTTGCCTGATTGAATTTTCAGTTGAATATATTTAAATATCGTAAGGTTTAATAACCTAGGTTTGTTCCTACGGGTTAAGTAATAAAGTGTGTTTTGAAATAAAAAAATAATAGTTTAGTACAAAATAAATAAACTTTCTAGGTATTTAAACTTGCATAATACAACAGTTTACATATTTTCCATAAGAATAACGTGGGAATTTTTAATTTTTGATTTTTCTCCGAAACCTCAAGAAAAATAACAAGGTAAGAATAAAAATCTTCAATATACTAAATTATTAGATTTTTAATCTCTTTAAAATTGTTTAAAGATAAATTGGAATTTTTATGTTTAGAGGGTCACAATTGAGAAACCCCAATTTTTAACCAAAACCCCTACCAAAAACTTCATTTCCACGGTCCGATCGTGCATCCCGCCCTACACCTTCAATCCAAATTTTATCACATACAAATTTAAACGAATAGTGTGCTTCTAGGGACATGAAAATAAAAATGTTTATCGGTCCCAGGTCAAGGTCTTTTTGTGCCACATACGGTAGTTATCTTAGGGAAATTCGCTAATACTAAGATTTACAAAAAAACATCTTCGAATAAGACCTTGAGTTAATGACATGTAGAATAAAATATACAACAGCGAGAGATCGACAATAGTTAAATTCAGGATTATTCCGTAGAAAAGATTAAAAAGATTAGATGGATCTCAGATGTGGTTTGTGTTTTGGAACTACTCCAAACCCAAAAATAAAAGGGGACTCATATCTGGCAAGAGCAAATACGAAAGGTTTTCATGTAAATCTAGACTTACAGCAAACTATTGTTCTATTTAGTTTATGCGGAGATTTATTTGTACGCATAATAGAAACGTATTACTTAAAGAAAACACAATGTTTAACTGTTTTCTTAATGCTTTAACTTGAAATGATGACCATACGACAGTAGATTGCCAAGTATGAACGGGTATGAGTGTAGGATGAGTGTTGCGTTCTTGTAGTCCTGTTACTGACTAAGGCCGACATGTCCCTTAGACAGGACTGTTAATTAATAGCACAAACAGCTAATAGCAACTAAGGGACCAATAGTTTAGTGGAATACGAACAACATTTTTGCTTTGTAATTTACGAATTGGTCTAATCATACGGATAGCACTACTATAGTCATAGCTCTAGTGCGGACGTTAATCCACACCAGGGAGTATCGCATCCACATATCATGCCTATAAAATAATATCCACAATAGGTACCTCCTGGTAGCTGGATTACAGAACGACGCCACGGTTGAAATTACTGTACTCAGAATACATTTATGGAGTTTATTTAAGAAAAGTCGGCTTTACAATAATTTTTCTGTGATTTGGAGATAAATATTCTCATACACTACCAAAAGTGTTTTCATTTTGAAAATTTCTTAAACAAGTATACCGATAGCTATACTAAAGAAAACTGTACTACAAATTGGTTGGTTGTACAAGTTGGTGAGTTGGTGGCTCAGTTTGTAGCGTCACGGACTTCGGGCCAAGGCAGCGATGTCGTGGTTAAGATCCTACCACTGCCACTAAGATTTATCATTGACTTTATATAAAGTCAATGGTTCCACGCACAGATCTGTAGTCTATGTGGACGGGCAAATGCAAGGATAAAAAGGTCGCCAACCTCTTAAAAAAAAATCTTTATTTGGCAAAATGTGCCCTTGCAGGTTTCATGTAGTAATAATTTTTGCTTTTACTATTTTAAAACCATGTAAATCAGTATTTGTATAAAATATTGGCACTAGTTAGTACTATTAGTACGTTGAATTATTACTAAACAAGAAACATATTTTTGTGATTTTCAAATTTCCTCTGGCATCATCTTGTTTCTGCGATTGCACTTAGTCAATTTGTTGAACCACTCGTGCAGAGACAATCGTAATAGAGTTTCCGCCATCTTTATAGGTTTATTATATACAACATAAGGTTTTGCTTGACACAATAAAGGATTTATTTTTTCATCCGCTAATTATTTCATCTATTGATGCCTAAATTAATATTACAACTTAACTAAACAATCAGTAATAGAAGTAGTACCCTCTTTTTAGTCATATGAACGACAAAGTATGATATCAATGTATCAAAACTTTAGTAATGGTAGTTAACATTTTGATTTTACAATACTTTAGAACATGTGTTATTAACTTACGATCGAATTTTGTCAATATTTTATCCAAAACTTCATTGATATATCATGTAATTGGTTGTTTATTGAAAAAAATTAATTAGACCGTTTTCAAGATGTATGAAAAGTATTTAATCGGTTATTACAAACTGTATTAAAGTCCAGTGCTTATGTTGGTCCTGCATATACAAATAGCTACAGTGCTGCCACATACCGGATTACATGACGTAGCAGACCGTCTAATACACATGTGATATTTGACATAGGTCTACACAACTATGA